GTCAAAAATAAGCGAGAAGCTGACATGTATATTTTTTCTGTATGAAAAATCAATTAAATCGTTCTAACATCGCATTTACATAACAAATGCTTTGAAATGTTATATTTTTGATATTATCATTATTAATGATATCGCTGAACTTGATTCCATGCAACGGCAATATGGCTGAATAATGCACGTTGTTTAAATTAAACAAAAGTAATGGCTCGCATTGAGCATGTGCATTATAGTATTCCTCGGTGGAATGTCTATATGTTTCAATACGAAACTTTCTGGTGTTTCCCTCACCATCAACATTGTTAATAATGACAATGCCACGTTGAAGCGCTCTGGCCAAGTAGTAAGGCGTTACTTCATATGCCCATTGTCTGATCATTGCATGGAGCTTCACCTGGCCCTTGAAATCCATGTTTCGCATGCATGACACTTTCACCTCGCATTCGCACTCTTGTGTAGACGGGTCACAACTGGAAAGACGGGCATGCTCAACAAACGGAAGGCGCATTTCTTCATCAGTGATAATTTGATTCGCACATAGTAATCGTACAGACTTTGAGTGTTTTTCATCTCCGTGGATGTTTCTAGATATGGCATCGTAAAAGCAGTTTCCAATACCAGTGGTTCTTATTATGTTGAGGTGCCTATGAAAAATGTCATGAAATATTTGTACGGTCCCCTGCATTCAATAGTGTAATTCTCGGTAATTTCATCGACACTCTTTACATTGCCAACTGCGAACGTCTCTCGCAATGCAGCAATCAATTCCATGTTCTCAATAACTATGGTATTTGCCAAAGTAGCAAAATTAGCTTCACTAATATTGATGCAGCTAATGTGCTCAAATCGAGTAACAGCTCAGCTACTTTGGCATGTAAGTCAATGACGTTCTCATGTTCCGTATCAATTAAGGCTGGTTGGTCAGCTTGGATTGTCTCATAATCATTATTTATTACGCAAGAAACTGCACTGCAAGTATACGGACGAGATTCTTCAGTCGTCGTGTATTGTTTCTCATCGATAATGGCGTAAATAGGCTTATGATAGCTGAAATAAGTTTCATATACGCCTCCTTGAATGTTGTCGTAATTTGAGAAAATTATATCGATCTGCGTATTCGAATTCGTTGTGATGGCGTCGCTTGGCAATACACTGCGCATGTTGAATTGGCGCAAAAAGTTTATCAAATATATATTTTTATTCTCGGATTTTACAATATTGTAATTAAAATCACCCATGAAAATAACCTTAGCATGTTGCTTACATAGAGAAAAAATTTCTGAAAAACAGTTTCGAACATTTTTTTCGGGGCATTTGGGGATTTGTATCCGGTTATGATATTGTATTCATTTAAATACAATAATACCAATTCAATGCTCCCTCTATTGTCCGAATCTGCTTCCGCAATGACTTTTGTGATTTTCATATTTTTTTTGGCGTAACATAATAAACCACGTCCATTTCGATTGTAATTTGACCGGTAGACTACACTAAATGTTGTGTCATCAATGTCCACTTTGTCAGAAGCTTTCGTTAGCGTTTCGCTTAATGTAACAATATCGCCTCTGCGAAACCACCGATCAGCATTTATATGAGACATTTGTTTTTTTAGTGTACCAACATTCTGATATATCAATACCGGAGATGTTACGTCTTTTAATGTATTATAAGATAAGTTTAATGTTTTGGTTGCGCGTAGGCGATTTATTTCGACCAATGAACGTTTCATGGTAACATCATTTGCGCTTGTAGATGGTTGTATATCAAAACTGCCCAATATATATAAACCGCTCAATTTTTTCACTCGACTCAAAGCAACGTAAAGCATCGACTTATCTCTTCGCTCTTTTTTAGTGAAATCTAGACATATCGCGTCATAAGTTTGACCTTGGGCTTTATGAATTGTCATAGCCTCTGCAGGTACTAATGGGAATTGATTACGAATAACATGATATTTTTCATCATCGCTGGCATTCGTCTTGATGGCCATTCTTTTAATCGGTGTCCAATTGGTATTTATTTGATGTTCTATCATGTATTCGTAATGACATAATCTTGCCTTTTTTCCTACCCGTTGCATCTGAAAGTCGAGCCAAACGATTTCGGGTTTATTAGTTTGTCCATTGAAAGTCACCAGTCTCAAAATCCCGCACGCTCCATTGACAAGTCCATCCTCGATATCTATGTTGTAATTAATCATGTATTTTATGCTGATCTTGAAATTTATTTTATTTTCTAGTCTGAAATCATCACCAGCTCTAGTTCGCAACAGTTTATTCATAGATTGCTTTAGATGTTCGGCTGAATTGTTCGAAAATGAATTTTCAGCTTCTGACACAATTAATACATTGGTGTTACTTTCAATTTTCATCTCATTGTACATGCTTACATTTTTGTTCGTTCCGTACAATCTGATAGCATATTCAGGAACATCATCCGGTTTCACCTCTCGTTCCTTTATCAATGCCAGATCTTCATTGGTCAATGCGTCATTAGCGAGATTATTTAGAGCATTAATAAACAACAAATCATCTCTTTGCCTCATCACTTCAGTTAGTTCATAGAAGTGGAATTCATTCCAGAGTGGATTGACGTCAAAAAATGCTTCCATCTCGTTGTGACGAGAAACTTGATACACCGGCCTATCTTTCACAGGCGGCAACTGGTTCAAGTCTCCCACCGCCAATATTGAAACGCCTCCAAATGGTTCATTCACGCCTTTGATTTGCCGGAGACGTGTGTCAATTCGGCTCAACGTGGCACTGCCTACCATAGAAATTTCATCGATAATCACGAGCTGAACTTTCGATAATTTCTCTCGAACTGTGTTGACTAAGTCGCTAGAAAGCTGGACTAAGTTAACGCCAAATTGCTTAGTGGCAAAACAAATGCGGAATGAAGCGTCATACCATTGATTAGGAAGGCTGCTTTTCCGGAGGGAGCGCATAATAGAACAACTATTTTGTCCATATCACCTCCTGGCAAACCATCGAAATAGTTGGTAATTAGCTGATAAATTGCCTCAATAACCGTGCTTTTGCCAACGCCGGCTGATCCACTTAGGAATATTTGAAATGGCAACTTGCCCAACTTGTAACAGTGAAGAATATGCAGTACAAATTCTTTTTGCTTCGCGTTCAAACAAATCATTAATTTGTACAGTTCCTCTTGTGAAATTCTCGTTGGGCATGTGTATCTACTTTTAATGACAGGCGTTTTGGTTTTACTAACACCATCGTTTTTGACACCGCCTTGTTGAAATATATCAACGTCAAAACCCTCTGGCATATCCGCTGCATCATCATTGTCAGGATTGGCATAAAGTTCATTGTCAACCAATTGCATGATTTGATCGATGCAGTCATCGCTGATAATTGAGAATTTTGCCTGATTGTCCTCAATGATGTTTTTGAAACGATTGTATTGTGTCTGAAAGTCAACATTTTCCACTTCTGTCTGTTCATTCCTCCATGGCTTGAACAGGAGAAGTTTCTCTCTATAATAATTAGCAGCATCTTGATCGGCCCTGTATCGAACATATCTGATTATAGCAGATTTGCCTCGCCTTGCATTATCTTCATTTTGTTCCTCACTGCCTTTGTCTTCGTCGAACGCTTTATGCAGTTTGCGTACTTCGTAGTTCGCAGCAAAATCTGCTAAACATATATATTCGAGGTGTTTTGGCCGTTTGGTGTATCTATCAAATATGTCCGCCATGAAGATCTCTGTTGAATCTTCATTCAACTTTTCTAAACAGTTGCTCGATTTCAGCATGTGAACGCGCTCCTTTGAAGGGCTGGTGTTGATAAATATTGTTTTTCTGCTTTGTTTTGACAGTGACAGAGAAAGTACATGATAGGCCGCTTCCTGTGCTGACATCAAGTTGTGGTTCAAGAATAAATTCGTAATTTTACGGAATTTATCTTTCACGCTAACATTGTTGTTATTACAGTCTGCGGCTGCCTCGCGTAGTAGCTTTGATAATCCTCCTTCGATTTTACTGATGTAATTCGTAACATAGCTTATCGCGCCATACTCATCGATTATAAATTGTAAATCTATGTTCGATTCGAACAAATGCAAAATATCGCGGTTGTAAGAGTTAATGCCGACTTCCATACTGGAGCGCTTCAAAAATAATCTGCTTTGTTTGAGCGTACTGCGTATAGCCAACAGATATTCTGCCTCAGACATATCCAATTCCTGCAGAACATCGTCAAAGCTTACAAATTTCCGTTCCGCATAGAAGGTGTTCATCAGTTTGTCAATTTCCTTGTAAGGCCTTTTGGATATTTCACCTTCTTGCAGTGGCTCCAATATCATAGTGCTTCTCATTACAGGATGCGGTATTTTGAATCTGCAGGTTTTTGCTTTTTGTCCTTTATAGCACGTATGACCATGTCTATGCATTTGCAATTTCACGTAAGGGTCCTCAGGATCATATTTGCACGTTAGGAATTTATCAATAAAGTCTATAAAGTTATTGTTCTGATTAGAATCTGCCTGATATTGGGTGCATTCTGTAGCCATAGAAGAATATGCTCGTGAGGACTCCCACGTTGCTGAAATTCAACACGCTCATAGCTGTCTACAACCTTATGGCAGCCAAAAATACTATCTTCTTGCCTAAGTAACCACATCAGTTTATTAACTTTGAAATCAAAGTATCTGGCGCAGCTGACGGGATCATTCCTTATTAGGTTGGTCTTGATGTTCTGATCCAATAAATAAGCGTCCCGTGTTGATATACTTCTATCAAAGTTACTATATTTCATGAGCGTTTTCAATAGCTCAGGCCAATGTGACTCTGCTGCAGATAGTGTTAGGAATAGAGTCGGTCTGCCAAGCTGTCTGATCATAGCTAACAGTTTCTTTTTCTTGTCCTGCCAAAATGCTGGTGAAGATCTCAAGTTTTTCAAAAGACGATACCCGTCATCGAATTCAATCAGGCTGTTTAAGAAATTTCTATTCTGTACATCCGAAACGGTGAAACTCGCTTCGTTACCTTTTCTGCGCCTCAGACATATGTTCAGATTTGCTGAGCACGAAATTTCCATAAACTTCTTTTGCCATGAATAGTATTCGTGTCGGTACGCATGACCGACGATCGTGTCGTCGAATCTCAGATTTTGTTCGGTCCTTGTATGATAATTTTACATTTGGTGAAAAAGTATGTCCTGCAAAAATTTTAGGGAAGCAAAGTTCATCAACATCTTCAATCTTGTGCCATGGCAAAGGTAATTTATTTTGGCCAGGCGCAATTACTTTTACCATTTCAGCTTGTCCTTTCGCTGTGATATCATTATTGTCGATCAACATAGTTTCATCATTATTGATTTGATCCAAATCAAAAACTGCCTGCGCATCGACATTGATATTTGGCACAAGATTGCAATTTTCGTTGATGTTCTCTTGATTTGAAAAAGAAACAGCATCGTTAACTGCATCGCTCTTATCAACTATAAAATTTACTTCTTCATTCATTAAGTTTTCGCAATTATCGAAATATTTTTCATTAAATGTTATCTCATACTTTTTATACAAGGGCGTGTTAATTAAATACTTAATAGCATTGCAAATGAATTTCGGTCGAACCGACTCGAACATGTAATCGCTCTTATGGTCTAGGTGGCGCTTCAATTTCACTTGTATGGTTTTCATTTCGCTAAATTTCCTGGGCAAAACCTTTAAACATTCATTCACTTCGATGGGTATGTTGACCACGCTGCCTTTCAATCCAAGTTGTGGATTGAGGGCATACGGTTTCAGAGATCGGATCTGCATAAAATTTATAACTGGCGACACCATGCGCTCCTCAAGATCTGTCAATTGTTCTAAATATTCGGGAACCTTTTCAAACTTCAGTCCATTACTTGTTGCCAGTTTATAAATTTCTCCACGATATGCATGGAGACCGCACGTGGAACATATCCATCCAGAGTTAAAATTGACAATACGCGACATAAATTCATCCACATCTATTGCCTCATTGGTTAGAGAATTTTGTGCATTCAGTTCTAATTTTTTTTAACAACAGTATCTTCACGAAATTTTGATATTGAATGCTTAAAAAACAGCCCTTCGCAGCAACAACATATATGAGAAGGCGTTTCTTCCCTTAATTTAATAAATTTTAATTTCAATTTGGCCAATGTACTTCGCTTAGATTCCTGTTGTAAGCCGCTATAAATTTTATTTCTAAAATTCAGAATATCAACATCTCTGTTCTTACTTTGGCTTTCTGCATTAATTTGCAACTCTTTCTGGTATTTTGTTGCGTCATTCCTATTGTGCCTCATTCTGCATTTATTCTCTAATCGTTCGTTTTCGGCATAGATGTTAGACTTGCGAATGTTTCGCATTCGGCGGATGTTTTTATGGCGTTCTTGACATTTATATGTAGCATTGCTGCGTAAACTACTATTTCGGAGAACGTTATTGTTTTGTTCATTCGATTTATAAATTAGATTCTGTCTCAAAGTTTTATTTCGAGAAATATTGTTTGCGGCTTCATTGGTTTTATATTCGATAGTTTGCCTCAAATTTTTGTTTCTCGAAATGTTTTTCGCCGCCTCGCCTGTCTTGTATTCGTTTTTGCGCCTTAAATTTTTATTTCGAGAAATATTGTTTGCGGCTTCATTGGTTTTGTATTCGATACTTTGCCTCAAATTTTTATTTCTCGAAATGTTTTTCGCAGCCTCGCCTGTCTTGTATTCGATTTTTTGCCTTAAATTTTTATTTCGAGAAATATTGTTTGCGGCTTCATTGGTTTTGTATTCGATACTTTGCCTTAAATTTTTATTTCTAGAAATGTTATTCGCAGCCTCGCCTGTCTTGTATTCGATGTTTTGCCTTAAATTTTCATTTCGAGAAATATTGTTTGCGGTTTCATTGGTTTTGTATTCGATACTTTGCCTTAAATTTTTTTCTCGAAATGTTTTTCGCAGCCTCGACTGTCCTGTATTTGAAATTCGCCTTAGATTTTTGTTTCTCATGACATTTTCGACACTCTCTCTGGCTGTGTAATTACTGTTGTTGCGAATCAATTCATCCGTAACTGATTTCTACGTCGTTTGCGAATCGCGTTTTCTCGTCGTCTCCTCATGCAGTTTTCATTATACCTGTAACGTGCGTCTTCTCTCAATTTCTTCATGCGATTCCTGTTATTTTCCTTTCTTGTTTCCTTATATTCGCGCTCACCATTTCCCTTCGTTGCCATGCACTCATTTCGCTTCGGGCGCCTGTTCGTTGAATGTCGGTCCGTGGCCGAACACTGCGAACCCTTCGACCTCGACGTCATAACGTCAAGTGCGTCCGAACTGCGTATTTGGTCATCGTTGACCCTAAGCAATGGCTTACCTTTGTCTTTAGCTTTATTCGGCACCTTTCCACTTCCTATCTTATAAATGCATTTTTTATTTTTATTTTTACTTCTGAATGATTTACGCTTCGTCTTCATTTTTCAATGTTCAAAAGTAATTATAAATCTAAAACCATTATCATTTTATTTGCTCATACATTAATTGAATTATATAAATATATTATATTGTTCGAAGCATAATATCATACGCAACTTTTTTTACTTGTATACTAAATAATGACCATTAAAAATAAAATGAAAATATTCATGAGATTGACTAATGTCAAATCACAAAATCACAAATGTTGAAAAAGCATTTTAATTAATTACGCATCTATTATTACTCATGTATAAGAACGTTACAATTTACAAACAAAATGTATTTTATCTTACCTCAAATTAGAAATATTCACACTTTTTTGAACTAATTTAAAAACACTAATATTTTTCAATTAATATTGATTCTATAATATCAGATAACTGATGCATTTTGTTTTAGCGTCGACGCCAATGTGACTAGTAAAAAACACGTGACAAAAAATATCGATAATTTAATATTTTAAATCCCATATGACACCACTATTTTAAGATGTCCTAGGGTAATAACTCTATCGACATGTTAAATATCATCAGATCAATCATCAGAAAAATTAAAAAAAAAATTAACGTGTTATTTGGAAAAAACGGCTGATTCGATATTCACCCAAAACTAATCACGACTACTGATAAAAAATGATATCTTTAAAACTATTTTCAAATTTTATAAATCCGCGCAGGCTTTTTTGCTAAAGCCTCGGTTCTTAACAAATTCCAGGAAAGCTCATAAATTTTTCAAAGTTTGATGGTGAAACGACTTATTGTAGGATCGTAATACTTTTAGTATGTTCTGTAAAGACAATGACATATATCGTAAAAAAAAATTCAAGAAAATTGTCGAACAGTAATATTTAACAAAAAATTACAAAAAAGCTATCTTTACCTAAAATTAATCAGTACTATTTCTAAGCATGATTTTTAGAATCGTTGTTAAATTTTCAAAATGGATTCAGTGTTGTGAGCTGAGCCGTGGACAAACATTTTTATCTTTTTCCTAAATTTTAAATTTTTCTAATCAGTTTAGTAGTTTATGGGAAAACGTCGATGAAGGTCTAATTTTGACTGAAAAGCGTTACTAGTATTTTTCAAACTTTGATGAATTTTTAAAATTAAACTACTTGTAGTAAGACCATGATGTATATCGCCAAAAAAAGTTCCATGAAAATCGGCTTAAATTTTTTTTTAACATTTAATTACAAGAAAACGGCTCGGTAGATTTTCACCTAAAACTAATCAGCATCATTCCCAAATGATATCTTTCGAACAGTTTTTGATTTTTCAAAATCGGTTCGGTAGGATGAGCTTAAATGTGGACGAAAAGTTTAACACTTTTTTTCAACAGTTCATTACAAGAAAACGGCTTGGTAGATTTTCACCTAAAATTAATCAGCATCATTCCCAAATGATATCTTTCGAACAGTTTTTGATTTTTCAAAATCGGTTCGGTAGGATGAGCTTAAATGTGGACGAAAATTTAACACTTTTTTTCAACAGTTAATTACAAGAAAACGGCTCGGTAGATTTTCACCTAAAATTAATCAGCATCATTCCCAAATGATATCTTTCGAACAGTTTTTGATTTTTCAAAATCGGTTCGGTAGGATGAGCTTAAATGTGGACGAAAATTTAACACTTTTTTTCAACAATTAATTACAAGAAAACGGCTCGGTAGATTTTCACCTAAAATTAATCAGCATCATTCCCAAATGATATCTTTCGAACAGTTTTTGATTTTTCAAAATCGGTTCGGTAGGATGAGCTTAAATGTGGACGAAAATTTAACACTTTTTTTCAACAGTTAATTACAAGAAAACGGCTCGGTAGATTTTCACCTAAATTTAATCAGCATCATTCCCAACTAATATCTTTCGAACAGTTTTTGATTTTTCAAAATCGGTTCGGTAGGATGAGCTTAAATGTGGACGAAAATTTAACACTTTTTTTCAACAGTTCATTACAAGAAAACGGCTCGGTAGATTTTCACCTAAAATTAATCAGCATCATTCCCAACTAATATCTTTCGAACAGTTTTTGATTTTTCAAAATCGGTTCGGTAGGATGAGCTTAAATGTGGACGAAAATTTAACACTTTTTTTCAACAGTTAATTACAAGAAAACGGCTCGGTAGATTTTCACCTAAAATTAATCAGCATCATTCCCAACTAATATCTTTCGAACAGTTTTTGATTTTTCAAAATCGGTTCGGTAGGATGAGCTTAAATGTGGACGAAAATTTAACACTTTTTTTCAACAGTTAATTACAAGAAAACGGCTCGGTAGATTTTCACCTAAAATTAATCAGCATCATTCCCAACTAATATCTTTCGAACAGTTTTTGATTTTTCAAAATCGGTTCGGTAGGATGAGCTTAAATGTGGACGAAAATTTAACACTTTTTTTCAACAGTTAATTACAAGAAAACGGCTCGGTAGATTTTCACCTAAAATTAATCAGCATCATTCCCAACTAATATCTTTCGAACAGTTTTTGATTTTTCAAAATCGGTTCGGTAGGATGAGCTTAAATGTGGACGAAAATTTAACACTTTTTTTCAACATTAATTACAAGAAAACGGCTCGGTAGATTTTCACCTAAATTAATCAGCATCATTCCCAACTAATATCTTTCGAACAGTTTTTGATTTTTCAAAATCGGTTCGGTAGGATGAGCTTAAATGTGGACGAAAATTTAACACTTTTTTTCAACAGTTATTACAAGAAAACGGCTCGGTAGATTTTCACCTAAAATTAATCAGCATCATTCCCAAATGATATCTTTCGAACAGTTTTTGATTTTTCAAAATCGGTTCGGTAGGATGAGCTTAAATGTGGACGAAAATTTAACACTTTTTTTCAACAGTTAATTACAAGAAAACGGCTCGGTAGATTTTCACCTAAAATTAATCAGCATCATTCCCAAATGATATCTTTCGAACAGTTTTTGATTTTTCAAAATCGGTTCGGTAGGATGAGCTTAAATGTGGACGAAAATTTAACACTTTTTTTCAACAATTAATTACAAGAAAACGGCTCGGTAGATTTTCACCTAAATTTAATCAGCATCATTCCCAACTAATATCTTTCGAACAGTTTTTGATTTTTCAAAATCGGTTCGGTAGGATGAGCTTAAATGTGGACGAAAATTTAACACTTTTTTTCAACAGTTCATTACAAGAAAACGGCTCGGTAGATTTTCACCTAAAATTAATCAGCATCATTCCCAACTAATATCTTTCGAACAGTTTTTGATTTTTCAAAATCGGTTCGGTAGGATGAGCTTAAATGTGGACGAAAATTTAACACTTTTTTTCAACAGTTCATTACAAGAAAACGGCTCGGTAGATATTCACCTAAAATTAATCAGCATCATTCCCAACTAATATCTTTCGAACAGTTTTTGATTTTTCAAAATCGGTTCGGTAGGATGAGCTTAAATGTGGACGAAAATTTAACACTTTTTTTCAACAGTTAATTACAAGAAAACGGCTCGGTAGATTTTCACCTAAAATTAATCATCATCATTCCCAACTAATATCTTTCGAACAGTTTTTGATTTTTCAAAATCGGTTCGGTAGGATGAGCTTAAATGTGGACGAAAATTTAACACTTTTTTTCAACAGTTAATTACAAGAAAACGGCTCGGTAGGTTTTCACCTAAAATTAATCATCATCATTCCCAACTAATATCTTTCGAACAGTTTTTGATTTTTCAAAATCGGTTCGGTAGGATGAGCTTAAATGTGGACGAAAATTTAACACTTTTTTTCAACAGTTCATTACAAGAAAACGGCTCGGTAGATATTCACCTAAAATTAATCAGCATCATTCCCAACTAATATCTTTC